GCAGTGGCTTACTAACGAACAAATTTGCCTAAAGGACAAAAAATGCTTAATGTTTCGGAAAGTATATCTTTTTCCGTCTTCGGAAGCAAAACAATGCAGAGAAACAAAGAAAAAAAACATTTGAAATATCTAAATGCAACTATTCGAGAACACTCTTTAGTTTTTTTTTTAAACAGATACGTCTACAAAAACCGCTGACGTTCTGTTAAAATATATTGCATCCGATACGTTGATACCACAAAACACATACACAAGAAGAAGTGCGAGCGCCTTGCTAAATATTGGAAAGTGAAATTGACGTTTAAATTTGACACTGTTGACAAGTCTACTGCTACTAGCGCCCCCAATTTCGCTTGTAGGAACTACGGGCTAAATTGTCACGCATGGCGGGAAGTTTAAAAAAATAAACAATTTTATTTCTTCATTTATTTTTAATTATGACATACACAAAAACACAAAAAATACACCATTTTTTAAAAATATGTTTAATATCAATATCAAATATACAACAGAAATTAATTTCACCACAATAAATTAATAAAATTAAAAGAATAATGTTACAAGTAGATCAAGAGACAAAATTAATTATAACAAAACTGAAAAAAATGGCGTCATAGATGGCTTAGAAATAAAAGATATATCATAATTTTGAAAGTAAAATTATATGGGAAATGTCTTCGATCATCATTTTTAAGCCAACTGGACGATTATTTCAAACATACAAGCTGAGTTCGTTCATAGTGCTCTGAGAAATCTAGATAAACAAAGAATAATAAATTAAAAGTATTCCAGGGGAAAAGAGAGGAAAAACCTGTATCGTCTCTGATATCTGTCAGGGTATTGTTGAAAGTGTCATCTTTTTGCTCGAAGTTTTCAGGTCGATCAAAAAGATGACATTTACAACAATACTTTGCTGTAACTTTCACAAATATCAGAGAGAGTACATACAGGTATTGCCTCTCTTTTCCTCTGGGATGCTTTATATCTGTTGTTCTTTGTTTATCTATATTTCTCAGAGCATAATGCCGAACACGACTACAGTATATAATAATTTCAATATCCGAAGTGGAAAGAAAAAAGATCACCTTTCTGTTTTGTACTATGGTCCCTTTCTTCCGATGGCTCATCTCGTTGATATTTAGGAAGGATAAATAGGAAGGAAAATATAAAATTCAATTTGATTTGATGATCCTTTTCTGTCACCTAAAATCAGGAGAACGACAATGAGCATGTTAAGATGAAAAAAAAATTATCAACACTTACCTACACGTTAGTCCGAGGAGTTTTATTAAAAACCTATATATTTGCCTAAATAATTTATGTATTAAATTTGCAAAGCAAAATGCAGCGTGTAAACAAAAGAAATAAAATGGCGACAAGTCAACGTCAACGACCCGACAAGGAGAAAAGTGGTGTTCGAATAACAAATTATGGGTCACCAAAAATTGTTTTTGTCTCCTTTCAACGCACACTTTAGAAAGAAAAAGAGATGAACTGGAATACTGAAAGAACGTCAAGGCTTTATCTGTCACTCTTGTCAATAATTTATCGGTAAGGAAGATGCCTAGAAAATCGCTTGTAGTCAAGTTTTCAACCATTTCCAGTTCTCCCATAAGAAGTGTCATCCACCTGGTTGATACGATGGTCCAACAGTGCTATAATTTATATAGCGTTAGCTATATCACAGATTATACAGATTATAATCTTTGTTTTTTCTTTATTGTTTTTCGTGGTTTCAATTTTCGGAATCGGGCACTAGTTAGGTGACTAGTTTGCGCACATAGCACGCCCACTTATGGCCTCTAAAATTGTGCACAGCGCCTGACCGGCACAGTTATTAGAGAGATATCGGAAAACCGAATAGCGTCATCCAGTATTTACGCGTACCTTATCATGGTTACGTTATGCGCGAGTCAATTTTTAACGCAACACCCGCTAATAACTTTACCGCCTGACGTAATTTGCGGATCAATTACACCAAGCGCTATTTCTAAATAACGTTTAAAAATTGCTTAAATGGGCATGTGCGGGTATTTGACAACCGGAGCCGGCCGGCGAGATGTTTTATTTTAGGTTATGTTTGAATTGTTTTGAATTATTGCTTTACTTTTATTAGGTAATTTGATATTTAAGTAGCTGGGATTAGTTTTGATTAAATAAATATGGCCCAAAATATGGATTCCACCTCTTCCAATACTAAAGAACCTAAAGAGTCTTAGGTTTACAGCAGATGACGACTTAGCCCTTCTAAGAGAATTTGTTGCTCGTTGCCCTAAACCCACTGGCAGACGTTAAACAATAAAGCACTGGAAATAAGCACTTTAGCCCTTTAGTTTTAAAATACCTAGTAAACAAAACAATTTCAAAGTTTTAAATTCAAAGTTAGGTTAAGTTTAAATAGTGGACGCGACGCGATCAGAATTCTTTCCGATCCGATAACTGTAAATGAAGAGAGTTAGTACCACCTCACTTAAAGGAAATAACACCTGTCATTATTAACGTCCATGCACGCTATTCGGTTTAGCGATATCTCTCTATTACGCTGTTTATTGTTATTTTACGCGAGTTTATTTTTGCGCACAGGAAATTTGACTCGTTTGCACATCGTCATAAAAAACAATTTTTGTACCACGAATTAAGCCGGAGTCTCATGCATCCGAAATCCGATGGTACGACATCCGAAATTTGAAGTTATCGTGTGAAATAAAAAAAGCCTGTCACATACATCCGAAAGTTCGTTCCGAAATTTGACAGTTTTAACATTTTTCTGCTGCGCTGAATAGAGATTCATGTCATGTTTTATTGGAGAAACACTTATAAAATAACTTCCTCGCCAAATATCCCGAAATTGCCCACTTCCCACTAAACTTGTTTTTAAAAACAAATGTTTTAAAAAAAAGTGAGGTTAAAAAACACACGATATCGTACAAAAGTTAAACAAAATTTAACTTTATACGACGTCGGATGATTAGTTAAAATTATCGGATAAAAATTGTTGTCAAAATATTTCGACCAATAGGAGCACCGTCGGATCGTCGTGTCATCGGATTTCGGATGCATGAGACTCCGGCTTTAGGGACAAGATTTTTATCTGTATACTTATAGGATACCTGATCTGTGGCTATATAGTGTTTAGTTATAGCGTTTTCGCGCCACTTTTTATCTGTAAATTTTTTACTCCAGTCCGTCAACGGAGAAAGTGAAAATAAATTTAACTTTTCGTATGATAACGGACGTTTTGACACTTTTTTCAGAAATTTAATCTAACCTTAATAAAAATATAAGTAAAACAGCGAAATCGTTATGGAAATAAAAGTATAAAATGACCAATCACAAGCAATTCGTATATCAGAGAAATGCAAGGCATGAAAATGCATAAATTTAAAAACTGCGTAATTTTCTAACCAATCGAAGTCTTTAAATTCAAGCAAAAAAATTAATATCGTATCGTCGGATAATGGATGCATGAAATGCACCCTTTAATGATTATTTAAGTTACGGATGTTTCCAAATTTACTTCGAAAAGTGTTGATGAGACGAGCACATTAATTACATTTCTTTTTTATGCATGATGGTTTTAATACCCATTCCATATTGATCCATTCTTCTCCAGAATCACCAATTTTACAAAATCCAAAACTTCGGTCAACATATTTTACTTGATGAGAATGCGTTTTACTCGACGAGAAGGTTATTTTTTATTTTAGGAAGGAAAGGCCGTGATTACAATATTGAAGCTATGATAAACGATAAACACAAAGAAAACTTATCAGCGAAGCAACGAAACAAAATGCATATACATATTTTATTTATACGCATTTTTTTTTGTTGAAGCTGTGAGTAGATCGGCACTTGTGTCTAGCCCTAGCAAGCAACTATTAAGCCCGACCAATCACGTTAGAGTTTTTGACAAACACAAATGAATTAACACACTTCAAATAACCACGCTAACCAACCTGATTGGTCAAGCTTAAAAGTTGACTGCTAGGGCTAGACACTTCTAGATCGGAGATTTTTTCGTATAAATAGGTAAATTCTATGTCGTTGCGTTCCTAGCATCTTTGCTTTTGTAGCTTAACCCCAACATAATAAAAGCAATGAGAACATCGATAAAAACGACGATAATAATTTTTCCAGATCGTATCCTTCTTAGATGCGTTTATGTTGGGGTTGTGATATTAATCAAATACAACCAGTTGACCGAAGTGTTGTGTTAATAAAATAACTAGTGATTCTGGAAAAGAATTTTAAAAGTAACTTTCAAATTCTGCAATATGACAACCAAAACGACAACCAACAACGATGAAAACGATAGTCAATCAACACATTTCTGACCAACTTTAGAGAATTTGTTCTTTTATACATCATTTAAATAATTTAAGGGCTCTACATCACTTATCACAGTTTCTATATAATCATAGCGGAAATCCTGTAGATGAAAAACGGATTGGTTCAAGAAGAGAAAAATTAATTAATTTTTTTTTGAACATTCAGGTTCTATTCATGCTTCAATCAAACTCCAAAATAAAAAGTTATTTGCTTAACTGCTTTTAAGAAGAACCAATAACTAGACAAAAACTAGAATGTTATTTTTATACCTACTGTGACATGGTTTATATTCCATTATAGCTACATTTTTTAAATACATATATGATTTGACTATGCATTCATATATCAAAACTATCTCGAATCCCAAAATAAACATTTCCATTGCATAATAAAACCTCACGTAGTTCTTGATTTAGTTAAGTTTGTTGTTTTATCATTGACCCAAAATATTAATAATATTCATCGATTGATTTAAATTGACCAAGTAAATAAATAAATCAACATAAATACGTACATATCATGCGTACATATAAACAAACAAATATGAATGGACATAAGATTTCGATTGACTTTTGGCTACGTATTCAATCGAATAATAATTATTTAATGTTTTTTATAATCATTTTATGAACCGAAATGGCATTAATTTCATGAATTTAATTAATTTTCAGGGGCGTACTTGATTCACATGCAGTTCCAGTTGAGATCGGCGGCTAAATTCATGAGCCCCAAATACATTTCATATTTTGACTTGGTAAGAAAATTTATAATAGGTATTTAACATATGACCAAATAGGTTCCAAATTAACTTCAAGCTGGTAGAAATATTTTAACACAGAATATTTATTACAAAATAAATTTTAAAATTATTATTATGTTTCTTTTAGATTAGTTTGTCATTCTCAGACATGGTATTAGCCTTCCTCAGCGCTCTGTGCTTATATCTCATGATAGAAGCACCGTTTAGGAAGATATTCAAAGAGCTCTTGATGCCTAAAAGGGAACCCAAAAAGCCTAAGCATCAGAATGAAATTAGCGAATCAGGAACAACCACCTTAAGAGATTCGGCTATAGAAAATGGCATTATTTATAGAAATAATCACGCCTATAATGGTAATAATGTCAATGTCGAAGCAGACAGCAGGCTGTAAAAGGTACATAAATGTACAATATGTTAGCATTTTATTTTGTCCCATTTTTGCAGGCTATAATTTTTTATTGTTGTCATTATTATGAGATGATACTCATTAAAGAAAAGAAAAATGTTTCTTTTCAAGTTTTATGAAGTATTACCAAACATGTTAACGCTGTCAAATATCACAGATATTAATATGAAGAATTTTTTTTAATCAGGCGTATATTAAATGTATTAAATATCATATTTTTTCCGATTTCACTGTGACATTTTTAGTAATACAAAAGTAATACCGTAAGAAAACCCTATAATCAGTGTTTTAATCACTCAAATCTAAATAAATCAATTAATTACATATTTTTTCGGTGTTATTGTTTTTAATGAATGTTGTATTTCTAAAAATAAAAAATATATAGTGAGTTAAAAGATGCAAATTGGGACAAAATAAAATATACTCTCCAGAGTGCCTCAATTGTTTTAATAGTGTTCAATCAGAGACACAATATACCCTCACCGGCATGAAAAAAAGATGTATTTTTGATGTATTTTAAAGTTTAATATATTTTGTTCTAGTGAGCCAAGTTTGATGATTTCTTAACCTATTGGTAGCTAGATTATTTAACTTTTGTTAAATGTCTCTTTCTAAAATTAAAAATGGTCACCGTCTTTCAATTATACGAGGGAAAACAAATTTGATATTTCGGTGAAAGTTTGAAACACCCTGTGGAATATGTTAATAAAGCAAGGAATTTATAAAAATCATTTTATCATCTAGGTATATCTTTTTTCGGCAGTTTTTTTTGGTTCATATCAATAGCTTTATTTTTATTAAAGATATTTGCTTTTGAAGATGACAATAACGATTTACAGCATATTTAGCATTAATCGTGCCTTTGCTTTTGGTCCTCATCAATACACCTATGAAAAAGAGTTTATTGTTTTTCTGTCACTCATGGTAAAGTCTTTTTTTATTGTTTGTGGGGAGTTAATCAAGAAGAGATGATTTTAAGTCCAGAAGTTGTATCCACTATTGTTGCATTAGTTGAACATAGTAGAGATCAATTTCTAGACTTTAAAACCATCTCTGCTTGAGTAGCTACTCATCAGACAATAATAATATGAGTTTTTAGTGACAATGACATTACACAACTCATAAACACTTATATTTCATAGATCTGTTGACTAGGACCAAAAACAATGGCATGGTTTTAATGTAAAAATTACGAAAAAAATTTAGTGTCTTCTTCACAATATCTCCAAAAAAAATAAAGCTATTGAGATGAACCAAAAAACTGTCGAGAAATGATGCACCTAATATATGAAAAATAATTTTTATATTCCTTGCTTTATTAACTTATTCTACAGGGTGTTTCAAACTTTCACCAAAATATCAACTTTTTGTTTTCCCTCGTATAATTGGCAGATGATGAATTCTTTATTTAGGAGGAGATACTAAAAAGTCAAATAATTTAGCTACAAATTGCTTAAAAAATCATCAAAATCGGTCCACTAGAGCACAATAGGTATATAAAATTTTAGAATACATAAAAATTTTAAGGTGCTTGTTTTTAGTGCCGGTGAGTGTATATGTAAAATAGTTAAGGGACTAAAACATTAACTATTTGCCATTTAAATTTTTAATGTGTAAATATTTTAAAATGTTTAATCTATTTACGGTTTGTAGAATGTAGATAAACAATATGTACTTAGTTTCTTATAATAATAGATACTGTTTGTATAAACAATATACATAACAATAATCTAACGTATAAAATTACGTCTTAAAATAAACATTTGTAATTTAAAAAAATTGTAATTCAGCAACTATTCTGCAATGCAATTAATTAGTAAGTTTAGATTAGTCTGTAAATAAATATGAAAAATAAAACGTAAAGTAGAATTTTTAAAATATATGTATATTTAGGAAACATTTTGTTGTATAATAAAATTTTCTTACAGAAACTTTAAGAGATTTTTTTATACGTTTTGCCTTATTTTTATTGAATAAAGGAATGTACAGGGTGGGCCAAATTGGATGCTTTTAAAGGGAAACACTCTTTTCTATAGAAGATAGACGAAAACTAATATCGGTGTCTGGAGCTCAATTTCTCGCTCAATCAAAAACATGATGGTAAAAACCGCACATCGATATCTGTTACTGTTTCGGAGTTACGGGGTGTTTTTCAAAAATGTGCATTTTTAACAAATTGTGGTACTTTTTTGCTATGGAAAATTATGTATTTTTATAAAAACATTTTCGAAGCAACTTTTTACGTAGAATTTAATGGTTTAAGTATATTTTTTTAAAATTAATAATTTAAAAATTATCACTTATAATATCACAAGAGCTTAAATTATTTTCGGAAATTTTTTTGAGGGCACGAATATTTTGAAAATTATTCCGAGTCGAAGACGAGGGATAATTTTCCTAAAATATTCGTGCCCGAAAGAAAATTTCCAGGAATAATTTAAGCTTGCGTGGGCGTGGTATTCGGTAAGAAAATTTCACACCTAAATTTGAAAAAAAAAATATTAATCCAACATGACATTTTAAAATAATTTCAATTTGTTAAGTTCAACCTTTTCAACTGTCAAAAAATTTCCACTAAAGTTTCGTGGCGCCTCGAAAAAATTTCCGGAAATTTTTTCAGTTGCCATGGTAACTAGTCAACATTAAAGCATGTTATTGGTTGAAAAGTAGAGGTGTGAAATTTTCGTAGTAAATTTGATTTTTTTCCAAAAATAGAGCATACTTGATATTTTGCTCGATTCATCTTCGAGATATAGAGTTTTTAGAAATACGCCTACTTTGAATAAGTAAGCTTTGAACGACGCCGGCTGTAATGTAAAAAAATTCTAGCTGTGGGCAGCAATTAAAATAAAATAATATTTGCAATGAGAGATGCTGGTATAACAATTTAAACTATATTATATCAACACATTTAAATCAAGACATGAGATTCTGCTCCAAGTGTACGACATATCTTCTGTTATGGACAGAGTGGACTGTTTTTGAACATTTCTCGCGGAATTCATTAACTCAGTGGAGGTGAAAGATACCCTCGTACAATCGCTAAGTACTTCTAATTCTTGTCTAGATTATACGGGCAATTTAAAAATAAGAACCTTTATTCTTCCGCAAAGATAAAAATCCATAGGCGCAAAGTCCAGCGGCCTCGGCGGTCTCGACGGACAACGGCAGCGGTCCAAAGCCTACTAGTTAAAAGTGGCGAACTTTTAAAAATTCTGTATTTCGAAGGGGACTATAGCAAAATATGAAGTGTGCTATATTTTTGGAAAGGTAATTTTAAGTTATTTTCAGTTAATTAAAGATATACAGAGTGTCCCAAATAATAAATCAATTTTTCTGTTGATAACTTTTAATTTACAATTTTTGAAAAATACACTTAAACCATTAAATTCTAAGCAAAAAGGTCCTTTGGAAACGTTTTCATAAAAATACAAAATTTTCCATAGCAAAAAGTTACAGCGATTTGTTAAAAATGCACATTTTTGAAAAACACCCTGTAACTCCGAAACGGTAACAAATATCGATGTGCGGTCTTCACTATCATGTTTTTGACAAAAAATAAGCTCCAGAGACCGATATTAGTTCTTGTCTATCTCCTATAGAAAAGGGTGTTTCCCTTTAAAAACATCCAATTTGACCCACCCTGTACAATGCTTCTAATAAGATCGATCCAGCGAGATAAATACTTTCGATACAAAACCAAGAGGTGGTGCGTATAAATAAGATGAATTTATGCTAATTTAGATATATTATCAGTAAATCTATACTAATATATAAAATCCTTAAGTGACTGACATACTGATTAATCACAATCCTGCTCAAACCACTTAACGTAAGAAGCTCAATTTTGGTTAACATGTTGATTCTAGGGTGTAGAGGTTCGATAAGAAGGGATTTTTTGAAATTCCAGTTCCAAGAGGGTGAAATCACCCCTTAAATATTACAATATTTTTTATTTAAAAAATGGCCAAGTTTCCGAAAAAAACGCTTAAACACGTATATTTTATTTTGTTTTTTACATATTTAAAGATTTTTTAAAAATGTATACAGGGTGTTTCGAAAAATCGGGTCATTGATTAATCACGATCCTGCTTAAAGCGCTTGACGTAAAAAGCTGATTTTTAGAACACAGATTGACTTTTGGGTGTAGAGGTTCGATAAGAAGGGATTTTTCGAAATTCGAATTCTAAGGGGGTGAAACTACATATCTCTCAAATATTAAAATATTTTATATTTAAAAACTGGTGACTTTTTCGGAAAAACTCTTAAACACGTCTATTTTATTTTGTTGTTTCACATATTTTAAGATTTTTTATAAATTTATACAGGGTGTTTCATAAAATATGACCATTGAGTAATCACGATTCTGCTTAAACTGCTTGACGTTTAAAGCTGATTTTTGGCAAACGGATTGACTGTGGAGTCTAGAGGTTCGACATGGAGGGTTTTCTCGAATCTCAAATTCCAAGAGGGTGAAAACGCCCCTCAAATATTACAATATTTGTTATTTAAAAAACGGTTAGTCTTTCGGAAAAACGCTCGGACGAGCATAATTTATTTGTTTTTTTTACATATTTTGAAATTTTTAAAAAAATCATACAGGGTGTTCCAAACTGTTGGGTAATTTCTTAACCACGATTCTGCTTAAACTGCTTGACGTAAAAAGCTTATTTTTGGCAAACGGATTTTTCGAAAGTCAAATTCCAACGGGATGAAACTACCCCTCAAATATTACCAAGTTACATAATAATATCCCCATATTGTTTTTTCTCATGCTGACATAAATGTGAAAAAATTTTATCCAGTTTGTATGTTAATGGATATTCTTGCTTTGCTTTATCATCACCATTACAAATAATTAATTCGACGCGAACGAAGTCGCTGGTACACGCTAGTAACATAAAATTATACTATTAAAACTTACATAAATAGATCAGATATTGGTATGGTTTGTCCCCAATCACCTAATGAAGATTTCGACAGACGACAACCAAAAAATGACAGAATATACAATTTGCTTGTGAATTAAATTGACAGCCAAAACTGTCACTCAACTCAGGGATCCTCCCATTGGACAGACTATTTAAACCCCACTGAAAATGTCGATACAAAATATCGAGTATCGAAATATCGAAGTATTGATACTTTGGATCATCTCTAGTAATAAGACAGAGTTCAAAACATATGCGTAGCTCCAACGGGACAGGGTTGAGGGCGGGGCAGTTGCCCCATATACCAAGAGAAAATTGTGTATACTTATATTGAGTTAAGTCAACGCTAAACTGTTCAACACTGTTCAAATAAAGCTATTTTTAATAAGTAATTTGTATTACGTTTTTTAGAGTTGACTTTGGTTTTGCCCCATATGCATCCTAGAGAAAGTTTTACCCCACTCTGGAGAAAATCCCGGCTACGCCCTTGGTCCAAAATATACACTTTCCATTATTTTAGTTCATTTATGTATTTATACTCTACAGAACTACTACAGGTCTATCTAAAGAGAGAATGTATAGCAGTGACTGTTGTTTGTAATTTTAATTCAATAATAAATAACTACTTTTAATTAATTTACAATTTGCATTTCTGTGATATGGATAAAAATACATTGTTTACCTTTATAAAATACATACCTTTATACTATTTATAGAATATTTATTGTTAAGAATTGTAAATATATATTTGTCTCTTAATACCTTTATGCTATTTGTTTTATATAATCTTTTATTGTTACTATCTATTTACATACTCATACTTCTGTAAATCTATATTTTTCACTAATACTATGGAATTTCTAAATCTTTTTTTCTTTCAAGGATTTCTGCACTAGATTATGTGACGCGATAAACAAGTTTATTGAGTGAAAACCGTTATAGTTAATTTATTATTACTATTTTTTAATTTCACCAAATATCTAGTCATATGCTTGTATACAGGATGGTCCTAATATTCGTGAAACTGTGGCAGCATATTCTGCAGATAAAAATAAGTAAAAAAGTTTGTATAACTTTTATGTCCTCAACCTCAAATGCGTTTCGGAGATACAGGGCGTATTTGGATTAAAATTGGTGTCTAGGTTCCATCCCGCACAGAATTTTTGACTTACAGAAAAAGATCTCACGTTTCACAACGCCCAAGTACAGAGGCTAGGGAAGATTTTGACAGATGACGTCAAAAAAAAGTTTACCTGCGAATTAAAATGACAAATAACAATTGTCACTGTCATGTATTTTAGCGTAAAACTCCTAGATGACATAGTCCGAATTGCCAATAGTCCTGAAAAACTACAAGCACAAATTAATGAACTAAATACAGCCAGCAATAAAATGGGTCTCAAAATGAATTTCGTAAAAACTAAAGTAAAGTAGAACAAACTAATAAACAGAAAAGACATTCTAATAAATAGCACAACTCTGGAAACAGTAGAAAAATATATATATATATATATATATATATATATAATATATATATATATATATATATATATATATATATATATATATATATATATATATATATATATATATATATATATATATATATATATATATATATATATATATATATATATATATATATATATATATATGAATATTTGGGACAACTAATACACAGCTCGGGATCTCTACTACCAAGAATCGACAGAAGAATTTAAGTTAGCATGGAGTACTTATGAAAGAAGCTCAATCATATTCAAATCTAGAATTCCACTCTATCTAAACAAGAAAACATTCGACCAATGTGTACTACCAGTGCATGCGAAACCTGGACACTTAAAACGGACATCATAAGGAAACTGCAGGTCGCACAACGCTCAATGGAACGAAATATGCTGGAGATAACCAAGAGAGACCGTAAAAGAATAGAGTGGATACGACAAAAAACCCAGATAATAGATGTTATCCACAGAGTCAAATTTCTCAAATGGCAATGGGCAGGACACCTGGCAAGAAGAACGGACAATAGATGGACCACAAAAATTACAGCATGGTACCCACGAGGGATTAAGAGACCTAGAAGAAGACCGAACCTGAGATGGGACCATGATATTAAGAAATTAGCAGTGATAACTTCGGCCCGCATAGCCAACAATAGACAACAATGGGCCCAACTACAAAGACAGTATCTAAATATGTAAGGGAGAATACACCATATTTGAAAATGGTTGAATAAGCTGAAAATGATGATGATGATGATTATATATATTTATATTATAGAGTTGTATAACAATATACCAGGTGCGTCTGTATAACAGTATAAAAGTGGCTCACCCCTATAACTTATTGATTTTATCAGAAAAAAAAACAGATTTGGTATGTTATTATGTGACATAAATTATGATAAATTGACGTATTCAATTGTTTTTGGTCATTTCTTGTTTCACCGGAAATGACTACAACTTTTGATTTTTAAATGCCACCCTTTTGGTATATTTTTACTTATTTCGATAGAATATGACACTCGGAGTAGAATGACATATCATATGTCAACTTTTAACATTTTCGCATATGGTTTGTTTGAAATTGTAACATGGTTCATAACGACAATTTCACTCGAAATACCAAGTGTGTGGTATCAAATTATTCGTAAAAAAATGCTTTTTCCAAATACGCTAATAAGCCACCCTTGTTCCATTTGATAAAACTGAAATATGATTAAAACTACGATATGGGCATCTTTTAACCGGCCAGGACGAGGCACGAAAAACATTAGATGATCAAAACTATTTTTCCAAAGATCCTTGATTAAAAATTAGTTTTTTTAATATAGCCATGATACTCTAGATTGCCATTGCCATGATTGCCTGGGTGTCATTTAAAGATCAAAAGTTGTAGTCATTTCCGGTGAAACAGAAACTGACCAAGAACAAATGAATACGTCAATCAATCCTAATTTGTGTCATATACAAACATACCAAATCTCGTTTTTTATCTGAAAAAATAAAAAAAGTTATAGCGGTGAGCCACTTTGACTTTCGAGCCGCACCCAGTATTGTTACATCTTGTCTGAAAGCTTTAAGTTTTTATTTTCTAAGCTAGAAGGAGATTAGTCTTAAAGTTATAGGTACTATAGTAAAGATGAAGTTGACTAGACAACGTCAAGCCAGAAAATATTTCGTTAGCCGACTTTTAGAGAATAATAGAAACTCCAATTTATCTGTGTATTAAAATGACAGACAACGGTCAGTCATGCATCCTCTCGTTGGATAGACTGTAGACTATGTCTGTCAATATGACTGCATGTGGCCAACACATGTATTATGGAATAATATTACTGGAAATATGGATAATATTGGAAAGGTTTAAGGTATTGGGTTCAGGACAGGAGTAAATAAATAAATCTTGACATGTATAAATTATTTCCTGTAAACCATTTAGATGTTGCCGTCTTCAAGGCTGTTCACTCCCCACCAAATATATAGGATACGGAAAACCTTTAAGATAGCGGGAACAATCTTAACACAACGTATACCATATCTAGTATTCTCGTAAACACTAAGATCCAGTTTTCTTTTCTTTTACATAACCAAAATCAAAAAGCAAATATTTCGACTTAGCAGACCGAGAACGAAGGTTGCCTGCCGGCCGTCTTTACGCAACTCCACCACGGTACCACTCCACCAAAGAGTATCATCATTCGCCTACCACGGTGCTGTTTCTTCGGCAGTACCCCAAAAATCACTTTTACCAGCGGTGGTTCGCGCGCGTGGTGCACCGCTTGTCATGAATCTTTTTGCCGATATTTTGCTGGTTCTCGCGGGTACTACTTTGGTTTTCGCGGTGGGTCAAGATGAGAAGTACTACGAGGAGAAAAAGGATATTTTTCCGGATCTGCCCTTTGGGATAATAAATGGGAAGAACGTTCTGTGCAGGGAGCAGACAAGGATGTACTTGGAGAGTTTGAGGAACCTGAGTTTGTGGGCGTATGAAAGTAAGTAAAAGAAGTCAAAAACAACAAAAATATTGGTTTTGAATGTTTCAAAAGTATTTTTTATACTGTGCGTTGCATCGCTGACCTACTCCTAAGAAATCCCACCTAAAGTTCAAACGTGATCCATATTTCTTAATTTATTTCATACAAAAAATATTTTTTGCCAAAATAATTTTTGGATATGCAAAATAATAAAGCGTGTTTCAAAAAACGATAAACAGATGTGCCATCTCTCATGGGGAGATTCCTGTCATAAAAATAAGATTTACTTTTCGTATTTCGATCATATGTCCGATTCTGCTTTGTTTCGTAGCTACAGGGGGTTAAAGTTACATCTTTTTGGATTTATTATAATTTTCTTCCAAGTGCTTTTAGCGAATCGAATGAAATTTGGAGGGTAAAAGTTACTACGAGTGCTATATATTTTAATGTTTAAAAAGTGTCGACATATTCACCAAGAACGTGCATATGATTAAAAGTTGTCTCTTGATTTCGGTCTACTTGATGAGATAAACGCGTTTTAATTAATTTGCCTCAATCCAATTGTAACAGTACTTTAAAAAATTTTAACGTCATTAACTTGCCAAAATGTTAAATAATACTCAGTGATTCCTCATCAAAAAATATGAAAAAAAGTTCCTATAAGCATGACTGCGGTTTAGTTTTAAAGTTACAGGATGAACTTAAAAAAGGCCTTTTGTAATATCTTAAATACTATTATTTTTTGGGTGAATTTGCTGTAGATCACTATACATCACTGCTAAAAATTTTAATAAAATTTAGTAATAAATTACATTAAATTAATAATTTATTATTTTTATTTTTATTTGAATGTTATTAATTGGGATTAATAAAATTAGGTATATCTCATAGTGTAGATCGAAATGAACAGAACATCAAGATACAACTTTTAATTGGCATTAAATTGCATACACAAATTTTATGCCAAGAAGAAAAAAAAATCAGTGGCGCACATGTTTTTTCTTAGAAAAATATTCCAATGATAACCCATATACACGCCCCTGATGAATTGGTTGACACTTTTTAGCATTAAAATACATAGCACTAATAGTAACTTTTACCCTCCAAATTTCATTCGAATCGCTAAAAGGACTTAGAAGGAAGAAAATTATAATAAATCGAAAAAAAAAGATTTTCCTCCTGTAGCTACGAAACAAAGCAGAATCGAACCCATATTAATATGAAAAATAAATTTAATTTTTACGTGAGGAATCTCCTCACATGTCACATGTTTTTGGAACACCCTGTATATTACCTAATTAAGCAAAAAGTAAATCCCGTTGTGGTCAAACAAACATTCTTGTGACATAATGTCAATATTATATCATTTCTTCTAAACAAATGTTATCAAAAACCTCTTTATTATATTCTGTATAAAAAGTTACGAAAAGCCGCACCGCTTACACGATATATACCGGATGCGTCTTAAAAGTGGCTCACCCCTATAACTTTTTTATTTTTTTAGTTAAAAAAACGAGATTATATTAGTATATGACATAAATTAGGATTGATTGACGTTGATTGACAATTGTTTTCGGTCACTTCCTGTTTCACCGGAAATAACTACAACTTTTGATTTTTAAACACCTCGGTATTTTTTTACTTTGTTAGATAGAAATTAACACTCTGAATAGAATGACATATCATATGTCAACTTTTAACATTTTAGCATAGGTATAGTTTATTTGAAATTATAACTTGTGGTTCGTAACGAAAATTTGACTCGAAATACAATACCAAGTGTGTGGTATCAAATTATTCGTAAAAAATGGTTTTTCCAAATATGCTAATGACCCTCGTTCCATTTGAAAAAATTGAGTTATGATTAAAAATACGATTTGAGCATTTTCTAACTGGCCAGGACAAGACACTAAAAACGAAAAGAATTAGTGTTTTTAGCATAGCCATGAACTCTAGATTGAATTTTAAAATACGATTTTTTATTAAGCGAGAATGTCAAAAGTAGGCATATTTATGATATGTCATTCTATTCAGAATGTCATTTTCTATCGAATAAAGTAAAAAAATGCCTAGGGTGCCATTTAAAAATCAAAAGTTGTAGTTATTTCGGGCGAAACAGGAAGTGACCAAAAACAATTGTATACGTCAATCAATCCTAATTTATGTCATATACTAACATACCAAATTCGTTTTTTCTATCTGAAGAAAGAAAAAAGTAATAGGGGGTGAGCCACTTTTGAGGCGCACCCGGTATAGTCATTTAGAATATACAATTTGCTTGATTTTACCGAGCTATTTAATAATTTATTTATAAAAAATATAAATATTTTAAGAAATAATTTCATAGAAAGATTTATCTAAAATAAAATGAAAAACTTTTATTCCCCATTTTTAAAATTAACAGTCTATGTCCAAATTGTCCAGGTTCGCTTAGGAACCTTAAATTAAGAATATTGTATAGATGAAACATGACTGTCTTAACTTTTTCTGTTTTTAATAGTTTATCTGTAGGATCTGATTAAAGTTTAAAGAATATAACAAGTTCTATGTATTTATTGGGTTGATTACTTTAGAATAGTGATAGGCTACAGGGACGCGCCGTCCATATGGGCAAGTACGTGCGGCGCACGACGGCGCCAAAGCCCTAAAGGCGCCTGCTGTCATTGACTTTAAAAAATCATAAAACCATTTTTTGGAACTTATCAACAAATTAACATAAAATTTAAGTAATACTTTTATCTATGAACGCCAGTGGTGAAAATATATTATCCACCAATGTCGAGCGCCGCGCCGCTGGTCATTGGAAATTTTGGCTTAATATTAAGATGCGTATCGACTGCCCGCGGCTGCCTCGCAAGCCATGTTCGCCCGCGGCTGCCTCGCAAGCCATGTTCGCCCGCGGCAAACCAATTATCTGCCTCGCGAACCAAACTGTTGGCATTCATTTGGTAGTGCGCGGCGGCCTCGCAAGGCAACCGATCCAGCCTTTCGCGCAGTTGTTCGCAAACTGCCACCATGGACATCCGTGCAAGAGCAGCAGCTGCTTTCATTGTAATTCATCACATCATTAAAAAACGAAACGAAAAGTGCGTATTGGTGGATGAAGAAAATGTATAGTAATAGGATGCAGTATGGTATTAGTAGACTTATGGACGATATGCGATATGAAGCCATTGATGACACAATAAAACATTTCAACGGATGTCAGCCAGAGATTTTGCGCAGTTAAAAATATTAATTGAGCCATACGTGAAGAAAATGGACACCATATGGACACTAACTTCCGAGATGTGATTCCAGTTAGTGAAATATTAGCTATAACTTTGAGGTTTCTAGCCACAGGAGATTCATATACTAGCTTGCAATACATTTTTCGAGTGTCAAAACAATCAATTTCAAGAATCATTCCAGAAGTTTGCGACGCATTATGCGAAGCTCTGAAGTATTATATCGTTCCATGCATCATGCCTCAGCGACTTGTTATGGTAGTGTGGATATTTGCTGTTCCAGAGTAATTCTCTAGCACCATATAATTGAATTAGAAGTCGGCACTTATGACTTATCATTATCCATGGTTAAAACTGCGAAAACACTGCACGCGCCACTGTCTGTTGTGGAATATACAAATTTTGTTTTGTTCTGCAGCGCATGCCAAAAAAATCGCCACGAACCGTCCGAACTGCACTGAAATCACTCACTGAACCTCCTTTACCGCTGACCCAAAAACCGACAAAGATTGGTTCGCACCACGGCAGATTCGAGCGAACATCAGTTCAAGCTGCCTCGCGCGGCAACTCGGTATCCATTGATCGCGGCTGCCGCGCGAGCCAATGTTCGAGGGTTTGCTGCGGGCAGTCGATACACACCTTTATAATATTGGAGAAAAGCGCCTACCCTTATTTCGCACGACGGCGCCGAAAATACTTGGCGCGTCCCTGATAGGCTATTATCATATTAGACAGAGATATTAGACACTAAAATGAATCGTAATGGCTATTTTTTGCGTGATTTTGATGAATTACACATTATGAGATTTTGCATCCGCGATTCAATATTTCAGAATGAATCGACTCTTACGATTCGTTCATTTAAACAAACTATAAACACATTTTGCGTCGCACAGTATTAGATATTTTTTTGTAAGTAATTTTTTTAAAGAACGAACATAAATAAGTTAATAAGAACGAAATAAATTTACATCTATTCATATTCATGGATTTTAATTAGATTATGTTAAAAAACTTTATAAACATTTTCATGTAGAATGTAGAATGAGTATGAGGGGGGGAGGGTAATCATCGCGACCTTAATGAACTATTGTGTCCCTCTTTCTTGAGTTATAGCTCATGATAGAGTCTATAACTCATACATGGAGGTCTTTCTGTTGTAGGGAAGACAGGGAAATGTTCATCCTCTGAGGAGTGGGCATGTATCTCCTCCTATGAGTGTAAACCCTGCCACGGTTGGGGTTTTTCACAGTCGAGGAGCTTGTCTCCGGCTAAGGTACCCGTGAGGTGGAGGCTGGAGGATCTGTCTCCATTTTCTCCATCTCTTTAACTTGGTCTCTTCTTAGACCTGATACCGGTGTTCTATCGAATCGATTATAGAGGATATATCCTGTTTTCTCTATTGCCTTCATTGAATTTGAGGTCAATTACACTGCTATGGTTATACACTTGTACATAGTCCCGCATGTAGAAGTAAGGGAGAAGAGAATACAATGGGTTGCCCCTGGAGCCCTAAGGTTGAGACCAGTAGAGACTAGTCTTCTGTCTAGCCACGCATCCCTTTGACCTGGCCCCGCCATCATAGGGTTTAGATTTTTGGTGAGGATTTCTCATCTTGATCCAGGCGGTTAAGCTAAGACCCCCTACACCGAGCCCTACACCCGTGATACATGACCACAGACAGTAGAGGGTGCCTGGTATGACGGACATCGTTATACGTCTTGGTGTAATTCACTGCCTAAGACACTACAACCAGGGATAAGACAATAAGATGCTCCTTAGACCCAGCCAGAGGGCCAAAGATTCCTCCTATAGCACATGACCAGGAGCTTCCCCATCAACGACTACTTAGGTCTTGCATCGCATAGAGGAAGCTACATTTCATACACTTTTATTAAAAGTATCAGTTTAAAGTAAATACTGTATGATAATTAATGTAATAGTGTAATAAATTATCTACGTGAACAAAAAATACATAATTTTAGCAATAATATAACATTATTTCTAATTTACCTTATCGTTAATTACTAAACTAATTAGTTATTATAATTGATTTATGCAAATTATAACATTAAATTGATGGAAATTAAGGAAATGATATTTAGTACATATTTTTGGTTTTGGTTCAAAATCTTCCATCAATATTATTCGATTTTTTTGTATTATTTATATATTATATCAGGTATAATCAGGCAGTCTTTGTTTTTTAAATAAAACGTAGTTATTGTAGGTATATTATTTATAGCAAAAATTCCATTCTTTGTGTTTGCTTCAAAAATTCAAAATATAAGATGATTCAACTTTTGGTATGAAAGATATAACTAAACTGATAATAGTTTGTTAGTGCTTTTATATTTTGTTTTTTAAATATAGTATACAGTATAATTTTTAAATATTGATTCAGTTTCTTTGACAGATGAAATTATACAAAATGAATCTTAAATAAGTGCAAATACTTTTGGGGTTAGTATATCTCGATAAAAGAAACACATTTTAACATTCAATAAACATAGTTATTCAAGTCTGAAATGAAGAAATGAGATTTGAAAAAAAACTGTTTTATTTTTTAAAAAAATTGTGAGCTACCGGATTTTTTCTGCATTTGCATCCCTTTTAGTATTGTAACCATAGAGTAAAGCCGTAACCATGGTAAATCAGAGATTAAGAAATTATAACAACAAGCAGTTTTACAAAGTTATCTAAAATATACAGGAAAATTTAATACCAAATGCACGATTTTCAACATATTCTTTTGCGAATAAAACCTCATAGACTTGTTCCTGTGGTCGAAATATACCACGCCTAAAAATATTTGCACTTATTTAAGACTCACCCTGAATATATTTTGTTTTATTAGATTAGTTATATTAGTTATTTGACATAACCTATTTAGACTATGATCATTAGTCTTTGACTTTTGTCAAATTTCCATTTTTTTTGCGTTTTCTTAATTGGTAAAAGATTTTACATAATATCTAAAATTATAATTGTCTCGATTTCGTATTATAAAATTGTAAATATATACAGGGTAAGTTTTAAATAAAATAAGTGCCAAATATTTTAGGGGTAGTCTATTTCAATCCCAAAAATACAGTTATGAGGTTTATTTCGAGGAAATTTGTTTTTGGAAAATTTGGAATTTTTTGAAAAGTGTTGGATTTTTTTTTACTTTTTAGTTAATTTCTTGATAATATGACAACATAGGTAGTAGATTACATTTACAAGAAAGAAACCCAGAAAAGATCTAGTGGTTTTCAAAATTAAGCAAAAATATTTTTTTTTGGAAATTTTCAAAGTAAAATAATTGTGTTATTTTGAACTTACTCAAAAAACAGTAAAGAGAAAATATGTTTCTTTCATTGAGATCACAGCACTGAAAATATTTGAACTTACTTAAGACTCACCCTGTATAGTTTCCATTTAATGAATGCATAAGGATGCTATCTACATTACCTGTGCCTGCCTGTGCCTGCTTTATTAGAGTATTTTAGTTGATTTTCTATATATTTCTTTAAATCTTTACAAAAAGTTATTTTTTATTACATATTGTTAAAACTGGTTTATTAAATCTTAAATTACTGACTAAATTTTTTAGCAAAAAATCAATTTTTTCAATTTACTATAATTTTCGTTAAGTGCTTTTACCGCTTCGAATTAAATTTTGAATTCTGAACTTTCTGAAATTTTAAAATTATGAAATTCTGAAAATCCGAAATAGCACAGATACTTGTCAAAATTCACTCACACATAAATACTTTTTTTAAATAAAATCACTGGTGGGTATAAAATTAGTATTTTTTTTAATTTTGCTCAAACAAATCTAAAATGGGCTGTGAGCCATCATAATGTAAATTTTTTGTCACAGACCCCTTACTATTAATTGAATCTTCAACCATTTGAAAAGTAAATATTTATAAAACGTATAGGTACCTATAAGTACAGTTGTGAGAACTGCACTTGTGCAAACTCTTCTTAGAGTTGAGTTAATAAGATACTTTATTTATTCAAGATATTATAAATAAGTACATAGGTATCGAACATGCAAATTTTGAACTCTCCAGATATTGGCTCCCTTGTTAATTTTGCAATGAAGTTGTAAATAGGGTTATTAAAGGCCTGCATATGCTGAATACACACGCCAAATTTTAACAATTTTGGGCAAGCCGTTTTTAATTAATTTAAGAAAACCTGTATCTATTATTTTTTAAAAATCTATCCCGTCCTCTTTTTTCGCAGAAAATTGTTTATAGCTTCTATAAAATGATATTGTGACCGCTTTTATATAATAACATTGTCTATTTTAATAAAAACAGATATATTTTCGGCTTTCTGCAAAAGTGCATTTATATTTATGGTTACATTTCTGCAAATGTAACCTTATTTTTATTTTATTTTACTAAAAGAACTAGTCAGTAATTTATGGTCTAATCAGTTTTAACTATATGGAATTTAAAATAAAAACATTTTGTAAAGCTTTGAGAATCGTTTAAAAGAAAATCAACTAAAATTAGAATTGGATTACAAAATCAATTAAAATATTCTAATAAAGGCGCAGCCAATGTAGATGGCGTCTTTCTGCATTAAATTTAAATACAAATTATTAATATTTACAATTTTGTAATGGGAAATCTACAATAATTATAATTTTAGCTAAATAAAATATCTTTTACCAATTAAGGAAAAGTAAAAAAAATGAAAATTTGACAAAAGTTTATATCCTAAACAGGTTAAGTCAAATAACTAATCTAATACTACAAAGTATATTATAATGTATCTGTTAAAAACTGTATTATTATTTTAAAATTATACCGTAAAAAACTAAAACAAAAGCACCAACGAATCAGTTTTAGTTATGTTTTTCATACAATAATTTGAAAATTTGAATAACTTATATTTTGAATTAAATTTAGACCAAACACAAAGAGTGGAATTTTTGCGAATAACAATATCTTTGGAGAACAAAAACAATATTATAACTTGATTTACATCTTAATTTGATATTCATTAATATAAATAATACAAAAAAAATCGTATAATATTTATGGAAATTTTTCAACCGAAATCAAACATGTGTACTAATAAATGGCATTTCCTTAATTTAATGATATAATTTGCATAAATACATTATAATAACTAATTAATTTAGTAATTAATAATAAGGTAAATTAGATATAATGTTATATTATTGCTAAAAGTATGTATTTTTTGTTTATGTAAATAATTTTATTATACTGCTACAATAATTATCACACATTCTTTACTTTTAAATGATGCTTTTAATAAAAGTGTATAAAAATGTTAATTAAAATTTTAAAGATAATTTAATTAATAAAATAAACTAAAAATTAAAGGATTTAAAGAAACTTAATGATGTGCCAGTCCCTTTTGGACAAAGAAAATAATTTTAGATACAGATTAAGATTATGAATAATAGCAGCCTGGATATAGCAGTAAACTAAAGTCGTCATTATGGTTGTCATAGATTTTAAAACGTTTAACACCTATGACGATTTTCTTTTTAACCTAACCAAACCAAAAAACTTATCATTTAAAAAATATATCTCAATATACATGTCAATATTAGTAATAGATTAAGTTTAGAAGAATAAACTACAAAAAAATTGTGTGTGCACTATGTGCGCATATTTGAAGTGAAACTTCTTACTAACAGCTATTAAATTGAGGGATTTGAAGGACATGTTTGAAAAAGTGTAGTTTGAAATGTTGAAAAAGTAATAAATTAAAAATTAATAAATAATTTGATTCACAATATTTGTATTAAAAATATCGTCTGTCCGTCTGAGGACTCCATTCGGGTACCTCTACCTATAATTAAGAAAAATCCTTATGATTTCGTCCATTCAGAACAAACACAATTATGCCGAAATCGACCCACATTTTTCTTCAATATCAAATTCTTAGTCCCATCCTAATGAAAAACGTTGTATCCAACTTTGCAAGGTGGGACCGTGTGCACCGTTGCTTACATAGCCTACTAAAAATTTGGTCGCGATCGAACGACATCAAATTTTGACGTTTCTTATGTCAAAACTAACTATTACAGTGACACATGTCGAAAAATCGAACGATTTTTTCTAAACCGTAGGCTGTCCTTACTACTTTTCCTCTCTCCTGTTTTGTCGTGAGTCGTCTAGCGTGTCGTGTCACGGACTTGAATTTTTACTCCCAGCGCACGTAAAGAAGTTTCACTTCAAAAATCACCTATTTCTGACTCAATAAAATGGTAACTTTATTTAATTAATAAAATTTCGATTTCAAATTAATTTTTTGAACATATATTTGCTTTTCATCTACCAGACCTTGGCTTTGATTAGGGTGGAGTTATGATAAATAAAAAAAGCAAATATGCTAGCGAATAAATGACATAAAATGTATGTGTTTGCACGCAGGTGCATGCGCGTTTGTAGTTGTGAGTACATCGACTCGCCTTTGTGGACCAGCAAAAAAGCGGCGATGTTTTTTTTATCAGCACCCACATATTATAATCAACAGTTGCCGGCTTTATACATATCGTCCCTTAGCTTACAACACCGCTTAAGTCGTTTTTGCCAACTTTACAGGAGACGAAAAAAACTGTCTATTTTAAAAAATCTGTGTTTTTTTTCTATTGCTTCATAATACATCCTAGTTAACGATTAAGAAATAATTATTTATACTTATTTTGACGATTTACTTTATTTTAACTTTTATTTATGACTTGAGCGGTGTTGACTGATATTTTATTAGATTTAGGCGGTGTTGTTTGTGAAAATGTTAGGGATTAAGAAGGTATTAAAAGATGATTTGCAAATAAAAGCTTTTATTAAGAAAAGAAAATTAACATTCTTTATAACATAGATAGGTATCTTTACTTAAATCTTAAGAATCACATGTTGAGATCAATTGCTTAAAGTAATTTGGTAATACACAAACCTCTAGTTAGAACTTAAATGAAGTACCTAATATTTTTATCTTTTAATAGGTAAATGTTTCAAATACTAATCTTAGTTTACTTAGTCTTTAATAAACTCCAAAGAAATAATATATAATAGTATCTATTAATAAAATAATAAAGAAAACTCAAAATCTCTAGTCTTTAGTTTAGTTGCAGTCTTTAGTGATTGCTGTGCGGAAGGTCATCATAAAAAGAATGGCAACTAGATGGCAATACACTTTTTAGGTCTTGCAAATCTTGATACTTCCGCTTTGTAATTGGTATTCTAGCTGCGTACAATTTTTGCAAGCTATTTATTTGTTTAATGCTGTTAATTGCCGTGGGACGATGTGGTAACGGGTGAAGCTCGTCATCAAAACTAACTTTATACCAAATTGTGCCATTTGGTCTGTATTCTAGCATACGTAAATCTGTGACGACAGGGTCACCTACTTTTTTACCAGGCCTTATAGATTTATAAATCAATTCTTTCGAAAAGTCTGTGAAAAAGGTATAATCTAAATAACAAGCTTGGTAAGGCATAGGATCACTCCTAGCAGTTTTACTTATAGCCATGTATTGTTGTGGAAGGTAAATTTCTTTACCTTTTAATTTACACTCTATGGCACTATGTACCGAATCACATTCCATGTGAGTATGGCCTTTTTCCAGGTACTTTTGAGTAATCACAATATTTTTTTCAATCGCTAAACGTAATAAAGCATTGCTTAAGGTAACATTGCGATTTTGAGCACAACAACCATCGGAATATAAAACCACAGGCAATAATTTCAGACTCAAAACCTTCTCTAGATGGTCTACTAAGCATGAAGCAAAAACAGAGGCTTCAAGCGTACTATTTGACTCATCGAACCAATAACACATTACTTCCTTAGTTGCTATATTGTATAATGTAAAATTATGGACGCATAATTTAGTTTTATAATAAATTGCACTAGCTTGAAGATACGGGGCCAATTTTACCGATTCAACATCCTGTGTGAATACGTGACAAGCTCCGGACTGTGCAATTCCTTTGTCAGTATCTTTTTCTTTCCTGGCTCGATCTTTCTTCAGAACATGTTGAGCGTATTCTTCATCAGTAATGTTTCCAGTTTTATGACTGCAACAAACGTCGCATTGATCCTTCTTTGGGTGGAATAGGCTCAAATTGAGTTTCAAAAATAATTTGTCAAATAATTTACGCCCAAGGCATTCTCTACCCTCTAATTCACAATTATCTTTATATGCGTGATAGAGCTGTGTCATGTTCGAGAAAATTGGTTCTAAATATTCTCGTGATGTTTTAGCACGACAGTAATGTGACGGCATCTTTGGAAGATCTCCTAAAAACTTTTCAACATGTTTGTGGTCTTCAATTTTCTCTGGATTTCTGCGATTACTGGTTGAAGAAGACACATCGGGAGGCATAGCACAATCGGTTTTTGTCAACCAATATCTTATAAACCAATCTTTAATTCCAAGAGTGGCCAAGAACATTTTTTTGCAGACTTGGTGACGTACATTATCAATCGTCAAAACGTAAGTTCGACTATCAGTTCTTTTGGATGATTCTGGATTTTTTGTAACTTTCTTTGATACTTTGTTAACGTGAGAAGTTATAAATGATCTTCGCTGCTCCCAGTTCATGTTCTTCCAGAAATTGTCAAACAAATATTTTCGCTGTTCCTCGTTTATGTTGTCACATGACCTGAGTTTGGATTTCTTGCAAAACGCAGAAGTGCAGGGTGGTTTCATGGATCTTGCAGGCTTAAATACGTCTTGTTTCACTTTAAATTTTTCATTAGTCTTTGCTTTTCTGTCTCTTCTGTATCCTAAATAACTTTCACCTTTCATCCGTAATTCTTTATTTATATTGCGTTTATATTTATTTGGATCTTTTGACGCCTTGTTCTGTCTTTTTTTATTACTTAACAAATCCCCGTGATAAGGAATATTGCTGAGTATGACCACTTTTGAAGAACATGATGGAGTAGCAGAGACACTGGATTGCTGTATATTGGTTTGGGTTGTTTTATTTTCATCTATTATATCTGTATCTGTGTTAATTACTATATCCGAAACTGGGTCTTGAGTAGGGAAAGCTTCAATGTGAATATTTTCTAGTTCTTGTACAACGTTCTCATTTTCTACCGAGATATTGGCTACATTCAATGCAAAAGACTGAGGATTGTTGATGGTCACTGTAGCAAATTCGGGTGGTATATATTGAGTTGTTTTATTTTCATCTATTATATCTGTGTTAATTACTATATCCGAAACTGGGTCTTGAGTATTCGTAGGTAAAGCTTCGATATGAATATTTCCTAGTTCTTGTACAACGTTCTCACTTTCTACCGAAATATTGGCTACATTCAATGCAGAAGGCTGAGGATACTCGATGGTCACTGTAGCAAATTCGGGTGGTATATGTTGCAGATCAAAGAAGTCATTACCAACTTTTTCTACAACTTGTAGATTGTGAATGTCAATGTTTTCAATATTATCCAAGTCTATGTTCTGGTCAAATATTGCGTTTACATTATCCTGGCTACTTATAATACCTTTTATGGACTCCCCGAAGTTTTGATCATTTATTGGTGTTGCAATAGTTTCATTTTTAGGAGGATCTTTTTGATTCACATCTAAAATAAATAATAGGAATTATTAAAAACATAAATAACAAAAATAAAATTCGGACCTCAAAACAAACCCATAGTACTTACCTAGTTTAATTATTTTATTATCTTCTTTGCAACTTTGTTTACGCCGTTTATGTTTTGACATCAGTCCTGATTTTTGTAGTTGGGCACATAACCATTCATCACCTGAACCCAGATCACTCCAGGAATCAATTTCTTCTCCATCCATAGCGCCTTTCAATTATTGAGTTTCCTAAAAAAATAACAAATTTGAAACACCATTTCAATCATAGGATTTCATAACAAGCTTATATTATTATTAACTGAGTCGACAGAAAGTCGTAAAACCCCCGACCAAGAATCTAAAAACTACTGAACCGATTTTGATAAAACTTTCAATTTTGTGTAACACACATCACAAGCTTTCATTTGATACCCATATTTGTGGAATCCTAAACACATTACCCTCCTCTTTGGCAGTCAGGTAAAAAATAACAAATTTTGAAACACCGCCTAAGTTAAGAAAAAATTGTTAGTAAACACCGCCTAAGTAAGTAAGGATATTATTTGATCATTTATTTCTAAATTAATACGCGTACATCAATAAACATTACTTTATTCTATAGCTTACCTCTTAATCTTCTATTAAAACTACTTGCAAGAACGTTCCAGCGATAAAATTCACTTAAAAATAGAAAAAACACAGAGCGCGAAGTATTTTCCGCGAAAATTATGACAGACTAACGACTTGTGCGGTGTTGCGACGCCAACCGACTTGAGCGCTGTCACTATTTTTTGAATTACGGCTTCTGATTGGCCGAAATCTATTTCATGAGACCAATGGTTCGACGCGCAATGCGCAGCTTCATCCAATGGCATTAAAATGTAAAAACCGCCAATTTTCGACTTGAGCGGTGTTGTTAGCTAAGGGACGATATGTAGGACTACTATCTATAACTAAAAATAATGACTTAAATAGGGTATAAATGAAGAAATTTTCAAAATTTATTTTGAGATGTGTTGATTATCATTTTTATCGTTATTGATTGCATAATTTGAAGATAATTTTAAAAATTCCTGCCCACACCCATTGTAATAACCCAACACTTCGGTTAGCTGTGATTTTACTTAATTAATTTACAGCTCCATAAACGCATTACAAAAGAATACCGTTGAACAGGTTTGAATAGTTATTATCGCCGTAATTATGGATGTTTTCATTGCTTCTACCGCAGCTCCAATATAAACAAACAATACGGCCTGAACTCGAGTTCAGGTCGTATTTATATTGGAACTGATAAACTACAAAAGCAAAGGAGACATAGTAGAGACGCAACGAAATATTCCTCAATATCAAAAGGATAATAGCTGACTACTTATACTTCGGCAGCTGACTGTGCAGCTGATTCCTCTGAGGTGGACTTTTTTAGTAGGTAAAAATTGTGCCTCCCATACTGTCTGAGATACGTCTCTATACTCTATGATCATCTCTCTCGAGATGATGATTGGAACGAGTACCATTCGCCTGTAAAAGTTTTATCACCCCCGCCAAAAAAAGAGCGCAAAAATATATAATTTATTATCTACCCCCATTTGATCATAAACACCTGCATATAAACAAAATACATGCATTTTAATTCGTTGTTTCGCTGGTAAAGAGAAGTTTCTTTGCAAAAAACGTCGTTTTTTTATTTTTCGTTTATCACCGTTCTAACATAATCACGGCCTTTCCTCGATATTAGCGACTATAAACTATAACAGCGTGATGTAACGGCGTAATTTGTAATACCTACTAGTCAAGTAAAACGAGTTATTATAAATATATTTTTTTATAACTGTATAAATAATATAATAATAACAGATATCATATATTTACTATTCTGTCTGCAGCGATACGCCAAGTATTTTCGGCGCCGTTTTGTGAAATAAGGGTAGGCGCCTTTCGCCAATATTATAAAGGTGTGTATCGACTGCCCGCAGCAAACCCTCGAGCATTGGCTCGCGCGGCAGCCGCGCTCAATGGATACCGAGTTGCCGCGCGAGGCAGCTTGCGCTTGCACGCGAAGCAGCTTGGTACTGATGTTCGCTCGAATCTGCCATGGTGCGAACCAATCTTTGTCGGTTTTTGGGTCAGGTAAAGGAGGTTTAGTGAGTGATTTCAGTGCAGTTCGGACGGTTCGTGGCGATTAATTTGGCATGCGCTGCAGAACAAAACAAAATTTGTATATTCCACAACAGACAGTGGCGCGTGCAATGTTTTCGCAGTTTTAACCATGGATAATGATAAGTGCCAACTTCTAATTCAATTATATGGTGCTAGAGAATTACTCTGGAACAGCAAATATCCACACTATCATAACAAGTCGCTGAGGCAACATGCATGGAACGATATAATACTTCAGAGCTTCGCATAATGCGTCGCAAACTTCTGGAATGATTCTTGAAATTGATTGTTTTGACACTCGAAAAAGGTATTGCAAGCTAGTATATGAATCTCCTGTGGCTAGAAACCTCAAAGTTATAGCTAATCTTTCACTAACTGGAATCACATCTCGGAAGTTAGTGTCCATATAATCAATTAATATTTTTAACTGCGCAAAATCTCTGGTTGACATCCGTTGAAATTTTTTATTGTGTCATCAATGGCTTCATATCGCATATCGTCCATAAGTCTACTAATACCATACTGCATCCTATTACTATACATTTTCTTCATCCACCAATAGGCACTTTTCGTTTCGTTTTTTAATGATGTGATGAATTGCAATGAAAGCAGCTGCTACTCTTGCACGGATGTCCATGGTGGCAGTTTGCGAACAACTGCGCGAAAGGCTGGATCGGTTGCCTTGCGAGGCCGCCGCGCACTACCAAATGAATGCCAAAAGGTTGGCTCGCGAGGCAGATAATTGGTTTGACGCGGGCGAACATGGCTTGCGAGGCAGCCGCGGGCAGTCGATACGCACCTTAATATTAAGCCAAAATTTCCAATAACCAGCGGCGCGGCGCTCGACATTGGTGGATAATATATTTTCACCACTGGCGTTCATAAATAAAAGTATTACCTAAATTTTATGTTAATTTGTTGATAAGTTCCAAAAACTTGCGTACTTGCGTACAACGTACTTGCCCATATGGACGGCGCGTCCCTGTCTGTCTGACTATTTGTATCTGACTTGTCGTACTGCAGATCCTCGCTCTCGCAAACGAGTTTTCCTCTGAGTCGATATCTGCACCGTAAAATTTTTGTAGACTTCATATATTATGTTTCAACTGATAACGCGGCGAGCGTTTTCAGAAAACGCTTATACAAGGTCTTAAATAAGTGCAAAGAGTCATAGAGAGTTATAAGAGTCTTAAATAAGTGCAAGTAATGAGGTTTTTTTCGCAATATCGTTAAAAATCGTGCATTTTTACCAAACTTAAATAACTCGGTTATTTTGGACTTGTTTGGAAAACGGTAAAGAGAAAATATGTTTCTATTATCGAGATCTACCAGCTCTGAAAATATTTGCACTTATTGAAGACATGCTGTAGAGTAATATTGCGCTTTTGATAATTGTCTACCCCTGATTGAGCCACGATGATTGTGTCTGCTCTTTTGCATACGGCTTTTTAAATAAATATACTTATTAAATAAATTTTTTATGCCTCTTTCGCGTTGTTGTCACGAGAAAAAGGTTTGCCAACAATTTTCCACGTTTCTAGTTCTTCTTTCAATAAATAAAAGCTACTTGACAATTATAACTCGTGTACGTATAATATTTTTAGTGTCAAAATTTCACCCTTTCGATTGACCGCCTCCGCTTTAAGCCCCGGGATCGCGCTGGCAGACATGACTATTTCATAATGGCTACACAAAAGGATTCTTTACAAGAAAAATTAGCCATGTAACGATGGTAAGGTTTTTTATGTAGCCAGCTCTCCGTCTATTAGTGTACACTAGTGCAGACACGCACACACATTGTTATGGTTTACAAATAAATTGTTATTGTTTATGAATTTTCACGGAAACACAGATAACAGCGGGGATGAGGGTGAGTTACAGTGATCAGAAATACCGCATAGGCGAGAATAGCGACACTTTGGAACTCGTTACAAAATCGTGGTATTTTCTCCTGGTATTTCTCAGGAACGGTCGCTAATGTAACGTGTCTCCATGTCATCAAGTGGAACCGGTATTCCCATCACTATACAAATGCATTTATTTCGCAGCTTTGCTAGTATATTTGCTTTTATAGTTTATCACAGCTCTAACAACTTACTCTTTCAACGCCAAGATTTTCACCGTATTTTCAACATCTCTATTATTCTTCTTAAACTCAATATCCATGAGCTCAGTTCCACTCAATATTATAGTAACGATATTGATATTGATAAAAAAATTATCACTTACAATAAAAATTTCTGTTTCAATTGAATATTGAATTGAACTACAAGAAACTATGTATGAACCAATAAAACGAATATGGAACGCCCATGGTAATAAACAATAGATGCGGAATGTTTGCTGTTCATTCATCTGTTCAATATTTTTAATATATCAATAAGTTTATTTCATTTATTTTTTTAGCACGTAAACCAATTACCAAAAGACGCGAATTAACTGATTTAAATTTCTGTGTCGATTGTAAAATCGTACAAAGAACAAATTGTGGCGAACAGTAAGGTTTGAAAAGAGAAATTTCACTGATTAATTCTTATCTAATAACGAGGAAGCTGAATATTGGCGAATTATGCTTTAATATAGCTGAAAGAACGCCGCGTTGTGCAGATTTGGGTCGAAAGGTACCCAGACGTGAACTAGAAATATATATTGTTCTTATAAAATTATGTAGTACTATATAAGAGGGGGGTAAATAAATAAGCGTGAAAAAAATTCGCGAGGTGGTTGCTATTTTAAGGATAAGGGTATTTTTCGTGTAAAATCTTACGACTTTTTTATTTTTATTTTTACCAATATATAATTATCTCAATATAGGGAGTGAAAAAATAGTTTGTTGTTTAATTATGAGTAATGGTTGAGTATAAAAATAAAAACGTCATTTTAACGCCTCTAGGCATAAATGTGACGTTTGAAAAAAATAGCATGTTCTATTCGGAGTAAAAATGACTTTGTTCCTCGCCTGTAATGTCGTGCGACAAAAAGTATCATTTTTACTCCTAATAAAATAATAGACTATTTTTGTGGCGAGGCTGTGCGTTTGACATTACCTTGTAATTACATATCGAGAAACTATGGTTAAACTCGTGGATTTGACACTTTATTTTTTGACACTTTACAAGGCGTAAAAGTGCTTTACTTTTATGCCTAGGGGTTAAAATGACTTTTTTATATTGTCAATCACGGCGCAAAAATTAATACTTTTGTGACATTTGAAAAAAAAATATTAAGTTTTTTTTTAATTAGGCGATTATTATTAGGTATGGACTTTTTTCATAAAGATTCGCCGTGAAAAAATTAGTTTTGTTTACGTAAAATTATAATACAGTGTGGCCCATCGAAAACGTTCCGCAAGGCATAACGACCAGGGTAACTTTTTTTTCAGAAAATTCAAAAACACGTCAATTTTGTTTGTGTGGGGGACAACTTTTGCCCCAAAAATGATTGCAAAATCTTCAACGCGGGGGCGCCATCATCCAATTTTTTTCAAATGGGAAGGGGGATCAAGTCGTACCGCAATGAAAAGGGCTGTCTATTCTTTATACTTTCCCGCTTCGTTTTTTGAAAATCGGTCGAGTCATTGAGAAAATATGAAGGATTAAAATTTGAAAAGTTTATTTAAACATTTATCAGAGTAAGTGATAAGGATAAATTCCTTCGACCAATTTGCTGTTTTTTCTTATTATTTCTAGATGTTTACGCATTTTTTCACTTGTCACAAGGTTGAACGATCAGGTTAGGTAGAGTGTACTTTCTTTTTGAACAATGTAGT